ACTGAGACAACTCTTAATTAACTATATTGTGTTTATTCTCACACAGCTCATGTGAACAAGCCATAGTAGGTTTTCATGGGATTGATCTATCTGTTCTAATGTGCTCCTTCAACCTATGCTAGTGAGTTTCAAAAAGCATGTAATTAAACATTTTGTTAAATATCCAGTTTAAAACTTTCAAAGTTTTAGCATTATTAAGATTTAAAGCTATTACCAGTTGCTGATTAAATAGCTTGACAGACTAGGTTTTGTATGTAAAACAACCTCTCAGGGGACCTCTCCTCCTCCCTAATGTCTATAGGCTTCTAGGCCACTTCTGTAGCAGGGTGGACAAAAATAGTTTGTCTCTAAACATGGTACTGCACTAATGCTGAGGATGCAAGGTGAAGCAGTCCTGTCATTATGAAAAGTAAAATCAGGTTACGAAGCACTGAGGTAAAATAGAATAGAAATACAGTATGGAGGGCCTTGTGCTCAGACATGACAGAACCTGTGTTCTCTAATGTTCTAAAACCTTATATTTAAAGCTTTACAAAGTAATTGCAGTAAGTTGAGAAAAAAGAAATTTTTAAATGTGTCATAGACACGCAGTTGCTGAAAACCCTAATAGCTACTGCAGATGCATGTGTTTACCCGTTGGTGATCTGTACCAGTAACAATGGATGCATTAAAAGAGCATAGAGCCCCCTGAGGCTGCATATGTAGGAATATAGGGCCCAGCTTTTTATTTCCATACCACAGCATACTGGACTGGGGTAAGAAAATGATCTTTCCTCTGATTAACCACATAAAGAGTGTAAAGCTTTTAATTTCTTTTCTTTCATATTGTACATACTGTATTAAGAGGGCATGGCCAGTGCAAAACTATAAACGTGGGACTCTTCTTGAATGCGATATGAATAGTCTCCCTCTTCTGATTGGTCGCCTGAGGTCAGCTGTCTGTGACGCTGCAGGCAGCAGCAGGCGTGGAAGGTCCGGTGTGTTTCTTTATTTTGGTGCGATTGTTGGGGATTATAGCTTCATGCCACTACCTCTGGTTAAATAGAAGCAGTCTCCTGTCCGGGTCTAGGTGTGAACTCTTTTTGGTTTCTTGTTAAGATGTCGTCGAGTGATCATGACAGGACCTCCATTCACCTCAATACGTTTGAGAAACTGTCATGGAGGCCGTCCATCCGCGACTCAGGTTTGTAAACAAAATGCACTGCTCTGCAGGAGCCAGCAAGCCTGGTGCTGTCAGCAGAGCAAACAGGGAACTAAAGGTCAATCCTTTAGTTAACGTTAGTTTAGTCTTTGTGTGCACCAGGATGCTCATTTGTCTGAGTTTAATTTGTGTGCCAGCGCTGTATGCACACAGATCACAGTTAGCTAACGCTGCTACGGAAGCCAGCAGAAATTATAGAGTGCAGATGAGCAACCATCAGGTATCTGTAGCGCCATTGTTATTTTCTTTAAGTGGAGACTAGCACATGAAAGGCTGATGAGAGAGAAAGACAGGGGGTGTGGAGGGCCACGGACCGAGTTTAATGGAGGAGACTGACAACCGAGCGCACATAATGTTAGCGTTACAATACTGATAAGATTTAGTAAACATTCATCTAGGGCTGCCCCATAATAGTCGAGTCATTAGCCTACCGAGACTCTTCTAATCAAGCCTTTGCTTTAATTTACTCTTTTTTTTTTTCTCAGCCAGTGCAGCAGTACAAGCCCCAGCCCCCTGGTAGTTTGTCGTCTTCCTCTTCCCATTTATTCAGACAAATCCGTATGGCAGCCTGACATTATATATCGTCAGTTTTAAATGGGTCATGTGCAGCAGTCTTTATGATTTTTAAACGTTCAGAAATATGTTCCTGTCACTCTTTTGTATTTAAATAGAGCTGTTAATATGGTCGAAACTATAAATGAAATTCATGCCAGTTGATTTTCAGACATTCTAGGCCATATATATCTGTGAAAAGAAAGAATAGTCGCACTGAAGAGTCTACTGACAGAATACTTAATCTGATGCAGCCCTACAGTCATCATTTGTATACAGTACTATAAACCTTACATTGTGTAACATTATGAACAGTATGAAAGGCTTTAGGTTCCATGAAGGCAGGTTTATTTATAAAAGGTCAAATCTTAGTTTTTAGTAGCTGGAGTGTCATTGGTCACACCTCTGAAATAAAAGCAGGACATTAATAGTACATGTTTCTGTGTGACTCTTCTCTCTATTGGTTGGTGACTGACTTACAGGCTCAAAGAAGCGGACACGATGGCTTCAGGCTCGGCGCATCTTCTCCCCTTCCTGCTCCAACCTGCGGATCCCCAACAGATTTCTGAGAGAAGGTGCTAGAAGTGCATGACCTCCCTGTCTTACCTCACAGAAATAGACCAGTGTCTTATAAACTAATTATGCAACCTGAGCAATCCTGGTACTGTAAAATGTAACTAGTGTTGTGAAACTCACCGAGTGTGTTGTGCACAGTATGTTCAGGTAAAAGAAAGACAATAAGCCTACATTTTGAGGATGAGATGAATCACTTTGTCTAACATTTATGTGCCAGTATATCTTTTGCTTACTATCTCTGTTTGCTTTTTCAGTGACATGAGGAACTTAACCTTCTTCCTCCCACAGGACACTGCACACCACCCGCCCGAAGTGGACACCGCTGTGTTGCAGACAGCACCAATCTATATGTATTTGGAGGCTACAACCCAGACTTTGAGGAGGCAGGTGGCGCAGACAATGAAGACTACCCTCTTTTCAGGGAGCTTTGGAGGTTTCATTTTGCCACAGCCACATGGCAACAAGTCCACACAGAGGGTTACATGCCCACAGAGCTGGCTTCTATGTCAGGTAAGGACTGATTTCCCTTTGTTGTATTCCTATTTACACACACCCAAATTTTCTGTTTAGAGCCAGCTCCTGGGAAGATGTTAAATTAGGGCGAAGACTTGATTGTGATGATGTCTCTTTCAGTTGTTTTACACGGCAACAACCTGCTTGTTTTTGGTGGCACTGGGATTCCATTTGGTGAAAACAATGGTAATGATGTCCATGTGTGCAATGTTCAGTACAAGCGATGGAACCTGCTCAGCTGCAGAGGGAAGAAACCAAACAAGATCTATGGGCAGGTGACTGTTTATTACTTTTTCTTTATAGCTGCTAGAAAGCTTAGCAAAAATTCACAAACTTGTTCTGTGTCATTCATAACTGTGACTATCTATCGGTGTTCTCCATTTCCAGGCGATGGTCATCATAAATGGCTGTCTCTATGTGTTTGGAGGGACAACTGGCTACCTTTACAGCACAGACCTGCACAGGCTGGACCTGACCACCAAAGAATGGCTCCACCTTCAACCCAAAAACACACCCTTAGATCTACCAGAGGAGAGGTCATTGGACACAGATAATTTTGACTACTACAGTATGTGATCTATAATGAATTCTCAGTATATTTGCAGTATATTAAAATGCACTGAAAATATGACGTTACAGGTACAGGCATGAGCTAGCTCATGACGAACAGAGAATATACATTTTTGGAGGCGGAACTTCCTGGACATCATACCCCCTGGACAAGGTGAGAGGGACAAGCACAATGAGGAAGTTTGACATTAAGACTGTTATTTTATCTATTTAATTATTATTTTATTTGTTTTTATCAGATTCACGCATATAACTTGGAGACAAATTATTGGGAAGAAATAGTCACCAAACCTTGTGAAAAAATAGGTTTGTGACCCTTATCTTTTTATTTGCAGAATAAAGGATTTAAAGACAACAGCATAAATTCACTTTGTAATATTTATTATTGTGACAGGATATCCTGCTGCCCGCCGTTGTCACAGCTGTGTGCAGGTCAAAGATGGTAAGGAGTGTTTCACACAGCAGTAAATCTGCCTGAAATGATTCTTTTAACCATCTGTTTTTATCTCTAGAGGTGTTTATATGCGGGGGTTATGATGGGGAGCAGATCCTGTCTGACCTGTGGAAGATCAACCTGCAGACTTTTCAGTGGACCAAGCTGCCAGCCGTCATGCCAGAACCAGCCTACTTTCACTGTGCTACAGTCACTCCAGTTAGTAAAACTTCATTCACACCTAACTTTGAGTGTAGATTTCTCTCCAGCATCAAGTGGAAAAAGAAATCTAGACAGCAGTTTTATTTGCAGCTAATAATTATGATCATTTTCATCAATCTGCTGCTTTACATTGTTTTAAAACGGAGAAAACCAACACATCCTAATGCAGGTAAAACTGAAACCAGAGAATATTTGGTTTTGCTTAAAAATCACTCAAAAAAAACAAAACAAAGTATCAATAGTTGCTGATTACCGTTATGCTGACTGACTAATTGATTAATGGATTCCTTCAGGCTGGCTGTATGTATGTCCATGGTGGAGTTGTCAACATTTCTGGTAACCGAAGGACTGGCTCTTTGTACAAAGTGTGGCTGGTAGTGCCCAGCCTGCTGGAACTGACCTGGGAAAAACTGCTGAAAACCTTCCCTCGCTTAGCCCGGTTGTCCACCCTTCAGCTGCTCAGCCTGGGACTGACCCACACACTAATCCAGCGTCTCAAATAGACCGAGCACGGACACTGAGGGGCGCGGTATATGATGGAACTGAACAGACTCTAAAATTGCTGAGAAGTCAATGAAAAAGTTGACAAAAAGTGTTGACGTCAAATGCTTTCAAAAATACTTGGAATGCATTTTAACTGTAGGTTTTTGTTTTTTTAAATCTGCTAAGTGCAATGTTGTAAGTTTCTCTGTATGTGAACGTGTCAGATTTGAGTTTGCACGTATCCGTGAGAGCTATGCAACAGCGGGGACACCAGAATCGCTGTATACAGATTTCTATTTCCTTGTCCCATAGAAGTGTTTTGCATGTCATTTATACAGTGTGTGTGTGTGTGTGTGTGTGTGGTTTTTTTTATTTTTTATTTTTTTTATTTATATCACGCATCAATATCACAGAAACTTGTGGAGCATGAGCAGGAACAGTTGTCGTAAATGTTCCAAAGACCACTTTATGAAAGGTAAAATGACTGTTTGCTTCTGTCCAGAAGCTGAGGAAACAATTATAACTCTATTTTCCATGTGTTGACATGCAAGGAATTTAACTTGGTACACTACAGTGCTCCCAACCTGCTGCACAAGACAGTCACCAAGCAAAGTTAAAGACTATACAATCAGAGTAAAACGGCTTTAAATGAGGATAACACCCCATAATAAATAAAGAAAATGGAGCCCATACTTCACTTAATCAGCATGCCCAAGATATATTATCAAGGTATGCTTGTTTCACTGTTGCTGAAGTGACAGCAGGTTGCTGCCATCTTTGACACGTTCACTAAGTTGCTGCTACGCCCACTGTGACATTGTTAGGGTTTACAAACGACTAGATTCAAACTGGCAAAGTCTGTCCAGTTTATATCCTGAGACACTTAAATCTGCAGTTGGTCAGTTTGAACTGAGCTACATCCTTTGCAGAGTGGCTTGTGCTGATAAAGACACTTTACACCTGTGACACTTCTTAAATAGAGCGGTTATTTATGGCGTCATGTTTTAGCCTCAAAGACTGATTGATTGCATGCTGATGTGCGATTTATAATTCTGTTTTTAAAAAATGTTCCCCTCGCTGGTCACCTTAGACTTCATGATCACCTGAAAACCCACTGTCATCACTGTGAATCTTATTGTGCCTCTTTGTGTTCTCTTCCCCATTTTTGGAAAAAAAAAAAAAAAAGGAGCTTAATAAGTTAGAAGTGAACTTGCACAGCTGTAGCTCTGTCAAGCCTTTTTGCTTCTTCAGTCAGTGCCTTCTGAATTTCCAAAATGTCACACATACTGTTTTATACTTCTGTAAGTCTTTTAAGCTTTTTACTTTGTTGATGACTGAGCTGTGTACTTGTAGCCTTTCTACCTGGTGCTGCCACATGAGTCTTCCTTTGCTGAACTTCTCTGTATGATCAGTCAGGAAATACCACTGCAGCTAAAGATTATTCATTAAATGAAATCCACGTTTTATTTTACATATTTATTTTAATCACTGTGCTGCTGTTTTTTATTACAAAACTTTAAATTGTATCACATCATGTAATTGCATTTCTTTTTTCCCCCACCTGATTTAATTTCAGTTAATACTTTTTGCCTAAACTCCATTTAAACCACTTATAATTTAACTTAGGTTCCATTATTAATGTTAACTTTTGTGCTTGTTTGTCAGAAGAAAGTTGTGCTGTTTTATTTTGAAGAATTAGGAGGTATGGGATGTTATTTTAACTAGTAATAAGGTAGGGTGTGTGACGTGTACTCAGGATGTTAAATACTGTGATTGCACTTGGTCTGTAGTGCTCCAAAAACATTCACCATCATCAGAATATTGGCAGGCGCAGTCATTTCTGTTAAATCAGATTTTTGTATGCCCTCGATGATTTGGTTCTTTTGCAGTTACTGTAATACTCCCAGCTGCTTGTATCAAGTCATGATACCCCCCCCCCCCCAACACATTAATTTTTATACTCTTTTGAATTTGAATTTGACTATTGAGTATCTCAGCAGCATTTTATTTCACTGCAACTGTGTTGGCACCATATTAAGTTAAACTCATTTTAAAGTTGCTCAAATGCTCGTTGTAAAATCCAAAACCAAACCTCAGTCCCTTTTTCAGAAGAAGCAACAGTCTGCTTTGTTTGCTCAGACTTGGGAAATATACTGCATTGCTTAAGATAGAGATGTTTATATTTACATCATTTTTGATGTTCTTGAAAGTTGAATGATCTCTTTTGCATGTCAGTATGGTGTGCATGTCACTTTACATAAACTCCCAGGAATATGAGGTGAATTTCTTCTCAAAGTCAATTATGGCTCTAATGTACATTGTTTTGTCATTTCTGCCTGTACAAACAATAAAAACAGACAGTTTTTCAGAATAGTGCACTGACAGATATTGTTGTTGTTCATATTATGCACAGATAGCCACAACTGTGGGGTGTCAGTGTTTTATTTAAAATAATGCCGCTTATTTCACTCTGACAAACATGTACCATTTAACGTTTTGGAGTTAAAGTATATAAAATGTATTATAACAGTGCTTTAAACAAAATACTGTTAGTGCAAATATTTAATATAATATCCTTTATTTAAAAAACATTTTTTTCTCCTCCATTGCAGTTGCAGAGACCATAAGAAGTTATGACACACATAGTTAGGTATGTTAGCTTACAAACAGTACAGTTCACAGTAGTTGGAGTTATATATTTGTGCAGAAGAGTTTTCAGTTTTCTTATTGGAAATGACATAAAAACAATATACCAGTAAGTTTCAGTTTATTAGCAGCATACAAACACTGAATAAATGTCAATAACATATTAGAATGTGGTTGTATACTGATTTTATAGTCGGTGTTCTAACCTTTGCATTTTGTCTTATACTTTTTTTTTTTAAGTTTTACTATATAGTCATTAATTTGTTTACACCAGCATACATTTATGGCAGCCTGTAGTCAGCGATCTGCTTTTTGACCATTACATAAATCTACAACTACATCGGTGTCTTATAAACATTTATTAAGTGTTAATATACTGCTTATAAATTCTTAATAGGGGACTTAATGCGTTACCAAAATACTTAAGAAAAGGCCCACTTCAGGATCCTGTCGTGATCAATTCGTCATAATCCCGTTGGTGTCTTCCTGGCTTAAAAACATGAGCTGAAAATCACAGATCCTCACTCAACATCCTGCTGGAGATGGAGCGAAGTAATAAAGAGCTAACAGGATAAGGTAGACAACCACCAGAGCTGTACCTGAGGAAAGCAAGTAAAAAAATAACAGAATTTTTGATTGAGATGTCACCGGGGCACATAAGAAGCGACAGTGCCTATTGTTCTAAGATAACGTTCAAAGCAACCACCACACTGGATAGCACATTTTGTTTCTTCAGTTATCTGTATTATCCTGCTAGGCATAATGCTTAGAAAAACTTAATATCTTTTAGATGGTCGCTGATTTCATGCAGGTGTTGTATGCAAATCAAAGCTTTTATCAGTGTTAATAATTCATTGTAAAGTCAGATTCACCAAGGCACTGTTGTGGCAACTCTTCCTGTGGCATGTCCGAAGGTTTACAGAGTTATTCAGATACTGTAACTGTGTTGAATAAAACTCACAACACTCTTAGGATCACTGGCTGATATAAAAGGACCTATTGTGATAATTCAACAGTTATCCAGATACACGACAAAATCAACCTCTAAGACCAAGCTTCAAGGAAACTTAAGAGTTGGCTGCTGAACAGAGACTAGTACAAAAATGAAAAGGAAAAAAAGCAGCAAACTACCAAATTTGTGTATTCTCATCACAACACCCTACTTTGTTCATTATTTATCTTCTAGGTTTGAAATTCTGGGTTTGAATCATCCAACAAGGCTTGTGAATCAACAAGGAAAGTTTCTGAACAGTCCTTGTGTGCTATGCAACGTTTAATTACACAGTAAAGCCTTAAAGCATTTTGAGATTACCTTGAAAGTAATCCGATTTGCCGTCCATAAAGATGTAGTTGACTAGAATCACACTGAAGATGCTGGCGCAAAGGTGCATGTCATTGAATAACAGCACAAATCCCACATCCTACACAAAGCAGATGCTGTTTGATTACAGAAAACTATGACGCCACAAGCATTAGGTATTTGTATGAATAAATCAATGATCAAAATAAAGAGAATGCCCTCTTACATAGAAGACACTGAATAAGACCAGTATTGGAATCTGTAGCATGCAAACCTGCACGGCGATGCAACTTCCCACCTCTAAGCTGAAAAAATAAAGATGATTTAGATACAGAAATCACTTTTAAACATTTTAAGTACCTTTATTAAGATGTAATTTACCTAAGACTGATATTGTTCTGGAGTGCAAACTGGATCCCATTAACAATTTCTGGGATCTCAGGAACCATAGCAACAACTGTCACCGCAATGAAGTACTGGAGAAAGGAAATATACATACACACACACACATATATATATATATGTACGTTAACAAAACTGGAGGAAACCACAAAATTAAAACTGCCTGAGCATGCTTAGATGCAAACTGTGACCTGAGAGATGTTTGGTTGGTTTAATATGGGCTGGATGTGCTCAGTGGCCAGATCGGCACAGGCAGACATGAGGACAGTGGCCATAATGAGGATGAGCAGAGACCTCCACCGCGACCAGTGGACCACTGCTCCATGGTGAGCCGTCACTGCACACACACATACATAATGAGATTATGTCTTATGTAGTATGTAAGTAAGCATTAGACGGATGAACCTCACTGTTCATTGTATTGTAGTGCAGTTTTGTGTTAGCTATTAACTGTGGTTCATTAGAGTTATTCATACATACCAGGTCCTCCAACATGGATGTTGTAAATGTAGGAGTGAGTCTTCAGTGTGAATATCAGCCCAGTGATGTAGGCAAGTGGTAGGAGGACAGACACTGTGTACACCAGTGGCCTGACAACAAGAACACATAACAAATAAGAGGGGAGAAACCTACAAAGGAACATATGACAACTGAACATGTTATCGCTTGTTTATATCAAACCACTTGTTGTCTTAGTTTTGATAAAGTGATCATCCATCTGGCAGGTACTGTTTTCCATTTGTCTCACTAGAATATGAAAACAATTTAAACTTGAAACTTGCTTGAGTTTGAGGTTTCCTTAAAAGGGTCTTTCTCTCCTCATAATGTTTTTGCCCGTATCAAATTATTATTTCATGGTAAAGCGGTTGTGTAAAATCTACTTGCTGATGCATTCCGGGGTATTGCAAGGTCTGAGACTTTGAGAAAATAAGGACATTGTGTCCTTAAATGCCTCTGTCCACAGACTACTGAAAATAGTGCAACTCTGAAATAAAAAAAAATGCAAGCGACTATGGTTTTTCCACCAATAGATTACATTATTTCATACATTTTTCAATGTCTCAGTAAGTGATTTTCATGTCATACTGAATGTAACTGAGATAGCTTCCACTGGAAGGTCCACATCAACCCACAGATGTATGGGATGTAAAATAAAATAGTTGTTACGGTCGTAATGATTCGCAATATGTACGGGTAGCTCAAGGGCTAAAACGTGCAAAACCACTGGTAAGGTCTTTAAATTTATTTAAATTCCATTCAGTATATTAATGAAAAGAATCTCTTACTCAACATGGCTGTTGAACAGTGTACTGTTGTTCTGTTGAATAAAAAAAATCACATTACACACACAGAGTATGCAAGTCATGCATTATTCATTATATTGTGCTGCTCACGACCCTGACCAGATCGTAGTGACAGTTGTGGCAGATGAACCGTTCACTGCTGCTGCTCGTGCTGTTTCCTCCAGTGGAGCTGGTACAGGTGTCACACACCAGGTTTCCATAAGCCTTGGAGAACAATGTGGGGGCAAACACACCTGCCGTTGACAGTTAAGGGGATAATTGAATTAAACATGGTTCTGTCGCTGCAATCATCACCTGACCATCATCAAGTATTTTCCTATCAGACTGTGATATGTGGAGCTAAATATTTGAACTACTGTATCTAGGGAAACAGGCATAATTAAAAATGTTTACACATCTCTGAAGAATATCTCTGAACATGACTTCCTATTCTCCACACAATTACTTTTCTCACAGTCTAGTGTATGGGGAAAAAACATTCCCTTTAAACCCAGTTCACAGATAAAGTATGTAGGATAGGAAATTAAGTATAAAATAATTTAAAGGTAAGGTTGGTGATTCCCTTCAAAAAGATGTTGTTGTTGTCAGAAGCTGCGACCTGCATGCAGTGTGTGCATTATGAGTGTGAGAAGACCGCCACACGGAACAGACTAATTTTACATGCAGCCAGACAGTAGTCCGCTCTAAGTCTATAGATGGGATTGTAATGCAGTTAACTGGACATCAAAGGCCACATGCAGTGTTTGTGTTACCAAGACAGTGGAGTTAGCTAGCCTCCCTCTTCACTTCTTCCCACCGGAAGAGCCCGGACTTCTAAGGCTAGTTACCGGCTATGAGACAGAGATAAAGCAGCTTAGCCATGAACCAGAGGTCCCCAACTACAATTTGGGGCCACAGATCTGGGTGGGTAACACTGTATTCGAGAAAGTTACAACTAAAAAGAAGATGGATGCTGCAAGAAGTAAACCCAGAATTAACATTGGTGCAGCTTTTGAACAATGGTGATAACTAAGAACAAAAGTGACACCATATTTCTGCTGGACAGTTATTTAAAAAAAATCAGCTGCAGCTGTATCAGTTGCCTGCAGGTGGTGCAAGTGTCGAAATCTTAGCAGATGCTACATTTTTGTCTTCAGGAAGCAAAAACAGTACATCTCCCTCCCTAGACTATGTCTTTTTCAGTAGGGGATGCAGGGTGGCAGCAGAGAACATATCTTTTTTTAAGTTATTTTTTTCTGGTATATTGTTGCCATTATTAGTGGCAAACAGGAGAAAATGTCAGTGCCTGCCCGGACATGAACCACAGATATCACACATGCACTGGCGCATGTGTACCTAGTGCACTGCATCATAACCATTCAGCAAGCATAAAAAATATCTGAGGCAGTTCTATGAGGTGGTTGGTATTCAAAAATACAGTTAGAAGTTGTTTCCTACTGCTCCCTCGTAAGAAGTTCTGCACATTAACTTCTGTTATCACCACCTGTGTCTTCCAAAATGTGCCAGTATACTGATCTTATGGTGCTTACCTCCTACAGAGATGAAAAGCAGTGCAGCGCTCACTCCAGCAGAGCGACTATTGAATCTTTGCTCACTGTGTTTCAGCCCTCCAATTATCATGCAGATGCCCTAAGTGAAAGACAAAGCCGTGAGTCTCATTCATATTATACTGTACATGTTATATTAGTATTGTGTGTTTAAACATGATTTTTGTCAGCTTTGTGGTACTGACACTAAATGAATTCCTCATTGTGTCTACAGGTTGAAATGATAGTTTCATGCACAGTGGGTAAGGCAAAGCTTTCTAAACAAGGCAAGGACATGTAGCTTCTAACTGAAAGTACCCTTTATAAATAAAATTGCATTGCCTTGCCCTGTGGGGTATTTGACCACTAGTTCTGTTAGAGAGAGCAGTGTTTTAGTTTGTTTGGCTGCCCGTTTCATTCTAACCTGCTGATTGACAGTTGGTGGCAGCAATGCACCAAAAACTGTTGCAATCTTCCAGTAAAGGCAGTGAAATAGAAGAGTGCTAGCTAGTAGACTTGCATGCAAACCCATGATGTAAACAATGTAGGATTTCAAACATTTTAAGCATCAAAGCATCAGCTTTTTTATGAAAATGAAAAATATTATATATATAATATAACTTAAGACATTAGTCTGACCACTAGTATCCACACAGTGTGTTTTGGTGAGACAAGCTAGATGTGAAGATAAGTTTTGTTTATGAGAAAACTGCAGGTTACCTTTAATGTAGGTTGTGAAGCATGTTGTTAACTTAAAAGTACTTGTACATTTTAGAGATTTTTTTTCAGGTGCTTTAAAAATTAAGATCTGATTCAGACGTAAATTTGATGTAATGCACGTTAGCTCACAGGAATAAAGAGGATGCATCCCAGCAACGTGCCAGTCAGTGCTGTTTTAACAACCTCCTGCAGACACGGGTTAGCTGCCTGGTGTCCTCTGAGCAGGGCTGTAATGTAAAAGGTCAACTCTGTGATGGAGCCGAAGGTGGCGTTCACCACCGCACCCACAGCGAAGTTACTCTGGGCTGAGATACTGCAAAAATGAACAAAGTTAAAATAATTAGTAAGAAAATCTGTATCTCTTTTAATCTTTTTGGTATAGTTCATGTATAGGGTAACATTAAATTCAACTCTTTTTACTTCACCTAAGGTCACTTTTCGGAGCTCACCTGGCAATGCCCATGCCGATATAATAAGACAGAGGTATGATGGAGGAGATTGCTATGGCAAACTTGACATCAGAGCTTGTGTATCGGTTGTCTCTGTCAATATATCCAATTACAATGGCAACTATTACCAGAGGGAGGAGGTCTGTGGTGGGAGTCAAAGATGATAACAGGTCTTCATATGACACACAATGGCACGCACTTCATATATCATGGTAAAGGATACTGACAGCGAACACATTGATCCCATCAACTGTGTATTTGTAGTAGTACCAGTTTGCAGCATGGTAGCAGCACAGCAGCGCTCTGGTCTCAGAGGACTGACTCGACGACATGACCAGAGAAATACAGGAGATAAAAACGAGTTTGCAGTTTACCCAGCGAGATGTGGATGTGATTTTTTTTTTATTTGATTTGATTTGATTTATTCTTTCAAGCATGTAAAGACAGTTGATATGACAACACACATGATTGTACACATAATCCAATATCAATTTGCTTATACCTAGTAAGCAGCCATGGGTGAACAGAAAATACAAACCAAGGAAACAAGGGATGATGTCTACAAAACTTGTGAGAGTCTAATAGCATAATGGATAAAATGGAGCATTTGGAAGTACAGTCCAAGCGAAAAAAACCTGATCTTCGAGGGAATCAAGGAATCAGCTGGAGAAAGCTGGATGGAAGCGGAATGTAAAGTGAAGGAGATTCTAAAGAATAAACTGCAAATTCATCAAGAAATTGAGATGGAGCGGGCTCACAGAGTCGGGAAACCTTCTGATCGGGGACCGAGGGCGGTGATGGTAAAGTTGATGAAAGAGAAGAATAAGGCACACATACTGCAACAAGCAAAGAAGCTTAAAGGATCTAATATTTATATAAATGAAGATTACACCGAGTCTGTGAGGAAGAGAAGAAGGGAGTTGATGCCGA